CATGTTTAAGCTCAAGTCAACAAATTAGAACCACTGCATACATGTTTTGTAAATAAGAGACCCAATTCCCCACTTACCTTCGCCGGTGCGGTACACCTTCGATTGCGTATTCATGTTGAATTGATTGATTGGATATTAACAAACAAAGAAAATGCTGATAAGGACTAGCAAATTGGAGACTGGTTCTTGGCGACAGTGATTGCGATTGGTATTGGGTGGCCAGTGGTATAACCCGATAACGGATGCGAATGACGAGAACGAATGGAACGAGAGTCGAAGTTTAAGAAAGCGCGAAAAATGACCGAAAACAGATTTTTTGATCTCACTTTTGTTTGTTTTTTAAGGGTATTTTTGTTTATTTTTTTTTTAAAGATTTTTTTTTGTGTTTTTTATATCAAAGAGAAAAAAACTAAGCAATAAATACGTATTTGTTTTTTATTTTTTGTTTGTTTTGTTTTTTGTGTATATATATTTTGGCTAAACACTGGCACAAGAGGCACTGAAATTCCTTGTCTTCGAAGTTAATAAAAATTGTCTTTTCTTGAGGGCATGCCCCGCAAAAAAATGGTTGTATTTCTTAGCTTTCCTTGCTGTTGTTGGTTTGTTTGTGTTCCTTGTAGTTGTGTGTTTTTTTTTTGTAAAAAATGCCGACAAATATTGTAACGTTGTTGGTTTGTTTTGGTAGTTTGAAGTTCCTTCCTGGGTCTGTTGTAGGTTTTGTTTCTAAAGTTGTTTATTTTTGTAAAATATTTTTTGCTCGTTTTGTGTACTCAAAATATTGTTGTTTTACGATGAAAATGCATACCAGCTGCTGCCGTTGGTGTTGTTTTGTTTTGTTCGAATTATGAATTACTTTTGAATTATTGCATTTTGTTTGAAATGATTTTGGTTGATTTTTTTATATTTTTACTTTAGTTTTACTAGAAAAATACACTGGGAATACTTTTTACTTTTGGGTTAGATTAGCTTTTGTTTGATATTTGAATATTTTGTGTGTTTTGCTTGATTATATTGTTTTTTTGTTTTCTATATAGTATACATATATATAATATATATTTTGTAGGCAATCGTTGTGGTTTATAGGAAGTAGTAGTGATTTATTTTAAATTACTTTCGAATACCCTTAGTACAACGATGATTTTTGGGGACGAGGTTCGATTCTCCTTCTTATTCTCCGGCTGCTGCTTCTTCTCGGCACTTCCCTTTCCGGTTCCTCCTCTCTAGCTTCGACTCGATTTCCTATTTTGTTTCGCTGTACGTTGCTATTACTTTTCGGTTGCACGATTTGTATAATTTGTTTGTTGTTTTTTGTTGCTGTTTTATTGCTGTTTCATTTACTATTCACTAAGCAAAAATTATGAGTTTTAAGGTTTTTGTTTTTAATATATAATAGATATAGGACACCCGTTATGTGGAGTTATCCTCGCTCATTTACTATGTTGAACTTTAAGCCTACAATTTATTTTGTTTTATTTAAATATATATTTTTTTGAATGCGTTTTGAAGTCTTTTTATAACCTACGGTTTTTATTTTTGCTTTGTGTTGGTTGGTTTTGTTATTTTTCACTTATTCCTTTGTTTTGTTTTGTTTTCTCGGTTCTTGCTTACTAGATTTAAGCTTAGTTTAATAGTTTATATAATATAATATATAATATACTATAGTATATATGTATCGAAGTCCTTTAAGATATCACGAATTTGTTTCAATGTTTTTTATCTTTTCATTTGCATTTGCTCTTAAGTGTAAAGTTGTTGTTGTTGGTTTAAGATGTTTTTCTGTTTTCTTCGCCTCCTCTTTCGCTCCTTCTTCGCCTATTGTTAAAAAGTACGGGTTTTTCCTTTCATTCCATTAGAGATTTTTTTGTGGTTTTTCTTTGCTTTTTTCTTTTTTGTTTATTTAAATTTATAAATTTACAGTAATTATCACAGAGTTGTTAAATCTTTCTTTGAATTTGTTTTGTTTATCTTTTCTCCGTTTTACTTCCGTTTGTTGCAGTTGCTTTTGCTGTTTTAGACTTTTAACATTTCTCACTAGGTACACTTATAAAAAAAACTGAATTGAAAACTAGTAAAAAACAATGCTTTATTGGAAAAAATAAAAACTGTTTCTTTGGCACGAGGCCGCAGTTTTAAATTTGTTATGCGTTCTATATATATATTTTAATAATCCGTTTATTTTTCACTAATTTATTGTATTTCTTTTGTTTAATTTATTGGCTAAGTTAAATTGCTGGTGTTGTTGTAGGTCTGTGTAAAACGTGACTTAAAAGTTATAGAATTCTTGTAGATTTTTGGTTTTAAATGTTTTCTTTATTGTTACCGTTATATTTTTAGTATATATTTTTTTATTCACACTTTTTTGCGGCACAATTGTTGCTTAATCGGTTTTATTCTGCTCTTCTTGCTACTTTCTCCGTATTTCTCTCTCTCTCTCACTTCCTTTTAGCCCTTTTGGGCGTTTATCAGTTTTTTCTCCTTTACGACTTAAATTCTAGCAGTGTTTTTTGTTTATTTAAATAATTTAGATTGATGTTGCGTTTTAAATTAAATCGTTTTTAATATGTTTAAATTATTTGTTGTTGATTTACTCCCGGTTATTTTGTACTTTAAAACATTAATTCAGTTGTTTGTTGTTGGTTGGTTGTTGTTTGTTTGTTGTTGCTGATGCTTTTGTAGCTCGGTTGCTGTTGTTGTTGTCTTAATTTAAATTAATTAGCAAATTGAATTCACTTTGACTTAACAACAAAAAATTCGTAATTAAATTAAAGCTTTTCAGGAAAAATAATGAGGAATTCTGGGATTGATTTAGCGTTTTTGAAAAATATTTTTTTTCGGTATTGTTTTTGTTTTTTTTTTATTCGAGTCCGAACGCCGCAGCGCCGTTGCCTTTATTTTTCCGTTAGTTTCCTTTCCCGTTGCTGTTTTGTTTTCAGTGCTTTAGCCGTTTTCTTTTTCAACTCCGCTTCACTTGCTCCTTCGTAGTTTGCTTTTATTTTTTGCTTTTCTTTTATTTATTTATTTGTTGGTGCTTTTGAGTATTGACGAGTTAATTTCACAGCGTTTCAATTTGTTTGGTTTGTTGTTGTTGTTGGTTTTGTTGTTTTATTTGAAAGTCTTCGTTTCAAGCTTGGCTTGTTTTTTGTTGTTTTGTTATATTTGCGCAGTCGCTTTATCTCCCTCTCTCTCTCTCTGTCTGTCTCGCTCACACCCACGGGCGGCGTAAAAATTCTCGTTTTTTCAGATTTGTGTGTTTTTTCTTTGCAAAGCAAACGAAACAAAAACAAAGAAGAGTCCAAAAAACTTAAAAAGTTTTTGCTTTGACTTTTTTTCTTTTGAGCTATGTTGTTGTTGGTTTAATATATTTTTGCTGTAACTTTCAATTATTTGCGATTTATATTTTGTATGTATTATTTTTTGATTCGTTTTCGATGGTTTTTTTTTATTTTTTATATCATATTTTTTGTTGTATTTTTATATTATTATTTGTATTCAGATTATGATGAAAGTGATGTCAAAACGGAGTTTTAGTTACAAAAGCTGTGGGGTGAAAAAAGAAAAAGGTGGAAACGATTAGCTTAAAAATCTTAATCGTTTTCATTTTTTTTTTTTTGGCTAGTGAAATCTACACCTAAAGTCTTGCTGCAGTTTTATCGATTTTTCAGTGTTGCAAATGGAGAGATTTTTGCCTGCCGGAAAAAATTGCACACACACATGCTCAACCCACTACGCACACACATACACATGCAGGCTCATACACACGCATTCGCAATTGTAAACTATTTTTACACATTATTGTTGTGGTTTTTTGCGTAAATTTAGCCGACTGTACACACATGCACAACCACCCAAGTGCCAAGTTGGTAAAAAAAAACTTTTTTCTTCAACTTTTTTTTCGGGCTGCAAATTTTGGTACCCCTTGAACGCACACACACACACAGGCACACAAAAACTGGCTGGCCAGCAAGAAAAAACGTTATTTAGGCATTAAAAACCTTGTTTCTCTGGCACTTTTCATGTTTTTCCATCACAGCTATGTTTGCGGCACATTTTCTGCATATTTTTGTTCCGAATTTGAGTTAAATAATAGTCCTATTCGAAGCGAAAAAGAATTTTCTCGACCAGCCACACGTACCACACGACAGCACAACAACCGGACGCCATTTTGCCGACAACAACAAAAAAAAAAATACCATTTCACGGTGTGACCATAATAATTTCTTTGCTCGTTTGAAAAATGTTCCGTTGAAACAAAACATAATTTTTAAATTTTATTTGTTTTACCAGGATCATTTGGGAACTTTTACCGAAAAATATATGCCCCAGCGATCTTTATTATTCTAAGTGATACCTAGACTTTCTGGTTTCAGTTCGACAAAGTTTAAATAGTGGTTCAGCGTGTTAGCTTTCCTTAAAGTCAAGTCTTAGGGAGAGCCCGAACTGCCCCAGACAATCGCCAGAAGTGGTGGATCATTTACCAACGCTTTTCCCATGAAATAAATAAAGTGTGATACTTAGACATTCAATTTCGAATCTTCTGTGGAAAATAAAGTCAATTAAATAAACAAACAAAAAAGACTTGTCTATGTCCTACCTTCATTTTATACGAACAAATTAATTGCATGGTTCCTTCTGGTGATCCATTTTCTTTTCTGACTTTTTGTGAGATTAATAAAATCCAAATTGTTCTTTAATTGCGATGATTTTTGAAGTTAACCGCCTTTTTGGCCTACAGTGCTAGTGTTGCGAAGCGCGCAAGTCGAGGGCAATTGTGACGCAGAGGCCATGGGTGCTGGCTAGGGGGTTGGGAAATTAATTTTAAGTTATATCTTATTACATTTATCTTCTGGCAACGAGACAACATTAAATACCTTAGCCCTCAACGGTAATGGTAAAAAAGGTTATGGAATTAAACTCGCAATTCAAGCTTCATGGAGCCACTTTCAATATTTTTGTAACTCATAATCTGAAATTTTGACATTGTCCCATGGAAAACCAAAAAGTTTTTAGTCTTTTGGGGCTTTTAACGAATTTTTATTAACGGCCTGCCAAGCATTTCGCTAGGGGCCTCTCGATAATTAACTTAGATGGTATTCAGTATTATGTTATAATGGGCTCAATATTTTGTTTATTGTTATCTATGATCAGTTTTTTATAGATTTAAGTTTACAAAATCTAGTTAATTGGTTACGGTGCCTTTTTATACATTCGACAGTGCAAAATGTTATCAACTTGAATATATTATCAAAATACCCTTGCTAATATGTCTCTGGGCTAGTTTTATTAAAAAAGGTTTAATAAAGTGTTTCGGTTAATGTTAATGCATAAATGTTTAGGCTACGAGCACCTTGATTTGGTCGCACAATAAATTGCATCTGGTTTTTCATACTCTTGGGATAATGAATTGCCTGGATTGTATTATATCTCTATATATATTTAGAAAAAGGTCTGAAGTTTGGTCTCTGTGTATTTTCGAGGCTTTACTTACTTTAGTTGTTTTTTTGAAAATATTTTGCTTTTGGTGCCGTTTAAAGGAAATAAATTTAACTTTATGTATGTACAGTGCATTGAAATTAAAAAATAACATTTAAATTTGACACTATAGTGATTACCATAGAAATAGTCATTGGTATAATGATTTAAAAGTGATACATTATTTAAAATGTCATTGAATTGACTCTGTTATCGCAGAACACGTCATAAAATTGATCAGACAACTCATTTAATAAACATAATATATTTATGGAGAGTGAAAATGAGGCAATGGTCATGAATCTAGCTTTTAAAATGCACTTAAGGACAGACAGCAAATCCATTTTAATCTTGCTGGAAAATTGTAGACATAACAGGGTCATTAAAATCGTTTTAAAAAAATAAAGAATTACTGGCAGTTTGCCCACTCACGTGCAATACAAACTTGACAATTGCGGACTTGGGTAATTTACAAATGTTAAGTACAACACGCAAAACTGAAACCGAAACTTAAATGTAAATGCTCAATGAGTTTAACATACACAATTGGTTGCTATGTAGGTATTAACTAACGTTACATATTATTAATTTCCCTTTTACTTAAGAACTATGTAAATATCTGCAATTAACTACGAAAACAAGTTGCGGCAAGGCGAGAAAGGGGTTCCAGTTTAGGGTCTGCTGTCGAAACCGGCGAAATCAGAGGCCTCGGACTCATCCTCATCCCTTTCGACTCCGATGCAGTGGATTCCGGTGCGCAGCATGGGAGTGCCTTTGCCTTTTCCCAAAACCCGGGCGGCGATCACCAGTTGCAGCAGCTCCTTGGCATTGGATGAGCTGACGATGTGAAGGACTTCGCGTAGCAGCTTCTCCTTGTAGGCAAAGAACTCGATTTTCATCTCGAAAAAGTCATGTTCGTCATGTTTGGTGCCCGCAAACTCCGTAATCCTGCAATGCAGACTCGGAGTGGCGCTGATCACCGGCTCAAACTTGCTGCCCAGCGTCCCCGCATCGCCAAAAAGGGACGCAGGGAGCTTCAGGTCGATTAGGTAGCGGTGATTGATCTGCAGAAATCCCAGACTAACCACAATCGTGTCGCCCGACCTCTGATATGTCACACAACTGTCCGACTCGAAGTCATCCTTCACCGTGTTCGTGTCGAAATGCACATGATGGTCTGAAATAAAAAAGGTTGAATATTAATATAGCGGTGGTATTTTATATAAATATCTTATATATATGATATGGTAAGTGATTTAATTTATTTAGATTGCTTAAATTAACTTATCTTCAACTATCAACTATAAAGATATCAGTGCTACAAGTTCATAAAAACCTTTAGTCAAATGTACATGAATGGTTCTTAATATGTCGCTTTGAAAATGTATAGATTAAGAAATTGCTTAACTTTAAACAAAACTTAAGCAAAATCTGCACGACATTTATATTGAAATTTTGATTATTTCCCTTTAAGAAAGCATAAAACTAAAATTTCTTATCGTCCGCATCGCTTGCTTAATTATTTACATTTTTGCGATTAGTAAATGCACACAGGACTTAATTGAAAATCTTATTTGTTGAACAAGCTGGACAGATGAATTAAAAATGCTGCTCCTCAAAGGCAAAGGTCGGCCAGGTAGACAAGTAAAATCGAGTAAAATTGCCTTAATATTGCGAGATAAACAAACAAGCAAACAGAAGTCTCGGCCCCGCCTCGGGTAAATTTCCCCCAGCGGCATTTGCAGCGGAAATTGCGTGTAAGCGTGTAATTAAACGCCCCATCTTATTCCCCAGTTCATACACAGAAAAAATAATTTTTGACCTGATATCAAATGTAAATTATTTACTATGAAATTGTATATATATTGGATATTGAAGGTCCAATTAAACGCCCTTCCTGATTCTCCAGTTCTAATAGAGAAAAATATATAATAATTATAATAAAATATATCTATGGAATTGTATATATTGGATTTTGTAGATACGTTTTAAGATTATTTCTTCAAAAATAAAGTAAATTTTTAATTTGAAAATAGAATACATAATATTGAAAATATGTTTTCTGTGTAACAATGGAGGGACGAATGTGAAATTGGGGAATTGGGTTATACTTAAGGCTTAAATCGCGTTAAAATTGGGTCAATTGGGACCAAGTGCAGTGCCTGTCGTTTAAGATTTCAAGCGTCGAATTTCGCACTGGCACTCGCACTCCAGAGAGCAAATTGAATTTCAAAATAAATAAAAACCTGCCGCTGGCTTTTAATTGTTGCCAACAGACGTATGCCAATTGTGCGGTAACAATGATGAATGAGCTAAGCATTTTCGAATAAATTTGGCTGCAAAGTGTTGAAAGCTATTCAAGATATATTACATAAATGGATAGTTTAAATGGCAATTAAATATAAATATAAATACTTTAAGTTTTATTTATATATTTTATTACCTTTTTTACAAACTTTATTACAACATTTTAAAGCTATTAAAAACAAGAAAGGAAAGCTAGCTTCGGGCGGAGCCGAAGTTGATATACCCTTGCAGAATATTCTGTAAATTATATTCTCCAAAATCGGATCGGTTTATCATATGATGCATTCTTAATACTCATAAAAAATCCCAACTACCTAACTTAAAAAACACCAAAGTTATGTCATTTCCAATCGTTCAGTTATTTGGCAACTATAGGATATAGTCAACCGATCCTTATGATCCGATTTCCGATCGTTCAGTTATATGGCCGCTATATGATATAGTGGCCCGATCTGGCTCGTTCCGACTTATATACTATCTGCAATAGAAAGACAACTTTTGGGAAAGTTTTAAGGAGATTTTAAGGAGAGCTTTAAAACTGAGGGACTAGTTTTGCGTAGAAACGGACGGACGGACGGACAGACGGACATGGCTAGATCGACTCTCCTGGTGATGCTGATCAAGATCTGATCACTTTATAGGGTCGGAAATGTCTCTTTCAATGCGTTGCAAACTTTTGACTGAAATTATAATACCCTCTGCAAGGGTATAAAAATTAATGCTCAATAACAAATTTCATATCCTAAATCTTAATATTATAAAAACTTGTAGACTTGTGTTAAACATTCTCGTTTAATTCGACACCTCTGTCTTGCATCAGATGACTATATATTGATTAGAATCATTGGTTTAAAATACAGCACAATTAAAATTAGCGTTTGAAACTTACCAAAGCGCAGCTTGCTAATAACTGGCATGAGGCATTGCAAACTTAAAATAGTATTTTATTGGATCGCTTGTTTTGCGATCTAATTAACAAACCGTTGACTAATGTTCACTTATTTTTAAGCAGCTAAAAAGTATGAAAGCGAAAACTAGCATCTTATCAGACTTCTAATCACAATCGTGCAATGCCCTGAGATATCTGAAAAGTTGCCTAGTTAATCATACGCGATTGCCTCATATATTTTAAAGCAATATTCCACGGCCCCGAAAAAGTCTTGTCTATTGCTATAAATAGAACCCTTGACTAGTTGGTCATGGCACTGGCATCGGCAATTGTGGCAAAAGTTTCTTATTTTCGGCAAAACATTTCCACACAAATGTGGAAAGCCAGAAAGTGCGTTTCAAAAACTTAAAGTATTTATAATCTAGAAATTTGATAATTTGCTAATAGTTTAATCACATAATAACCATTTCCATCAATTAAAATGTTTATTTTATTTATATATAATATATTTTATTATTTAATCAGTAATCAATTCTATTATTGAATATTTCCCTTTTTTTATGTTGCAGTATAGATTGGTAATATTTGTATTTCAATGTCTCTTTTCTTCTACACTTTACCCAAGTTTATGAAACGTTTTGTATCTTTTGTTTTTCGTTTTCAAATAGATATTTTGTTCTGTTCTGATGTCGCAACGATTGGAATGTCTGCGCAAACGGTTGAAATTTTATTTCCCCTTTTTTCTTGACCATTTTCCTGTTTTCTGTTGTTTATTTTGGCGATTCGCCCGCTCAGCAGATCGTAATAATTCAATTTTGCACTTTAATGTGCACGGAAATGTGGACTTGATTTTTATGTGTAATTTTTGTTATTCCATTTTTTGTAAGCGCAGACGAATGCGAAATTGAAGCAATTTTCCGGTTGCTCCTTTCCCATTTTGCAGTATGTAAGCAATTTATTGTAATCCAGCTTAATCTGCTTAGAGCCGATTCAACAATGGAGGCGTCGTCATGCCACACAATGCCATTCCATCCGCTACGCCAAGTGTCGCGGGAGAAAAGTTGATTGTTCTTTTTATAAATTTCATTTAGAGTCATGCGCCACACTCAAAAAACCGGATGGCTGGGGGAAAAAAGAGTCTCACGTGCCCTCCAATCACCATTGATTAACCATTAATGGAAATTTACAATCAACTGTTATTGCTGGAAATTCAAATTTTGAGTAGAACATTTTTGGGATTTCATCTCTCTGCCATTGCCGCAATAGATTCAATTTTTGTATACAGATAAATTATCTGATGCATATCTGACAGATTGTCTACCAATTGAATACTCGTTGGCTTTCTCTATGTATTTCAATTGGTTCGTTTACTCAAATATATTCTAAATTAATGTCTGAATATGGGGGCTAGACCATCCATGAAACTCTTCATGCGGTGAACAGCATGATCCAATCATGATCTGGGCATATCTATCTCTTAAGAGGCTTAATTTTAATTTATTTGTATTTAACTGACATATCTAACTGATTTGATTAATTTCTTAATATCCAAACAAAATCTTTAAACTAAAACAAAACTGCAGTTTTAAATAAAATAGTTGATTCTTTCAAAATTTCTTTCATATTCAAGATTTTCCTGAAAAGTATTTAAAAACATTCAAAAGAAAGATGCCAAAACTAATTAAAACTTAATTATATTTTGTCAAATTTGCCCAATTTGTCAAAGACAAACTGGTCTTTATGCAGCTTTGCTCTCTCACACTTGTAATTATATAATTTATACCCATCAAATTTAATGTATTTTTTATTGTTGGGCGGTACTTGTGGGTCTGCCCCATAACTAATTCAGGTGGCAACCGGAATTGTCGGTGTTGCTTCCCTATGGGGGATGCCATAAAAAGGCATCCATTCGCTGTACGTGCCAAATCGAATATAGATTGTAGAAAATGCAAAAAGGGGGAGGGTAGAAACAACAAACTGCAAACATGCATAACAATATTGTAAATTTTGTTTTTCCGATTCTGGAATCAAAACAATTGAAAAGGTGTCCGTGTCCCAACGAGACAAATATCAATCACAAACACCTCATGGACACTGGGTGAGATTTAAGTGGTAAACGAGGTAGGTGGTGGAAGGGAGGAAGGTGCTCCCTCATGCAACAAAAGCAACGAGGCCAAACAACGTGCCCATTTGGTCTCCCCGACTCTATAAATAGCCCAACTCATGAGGATTGCACAATTGCATATCACTTTATAGAAGAAAAAAATAGAATAAAAGAATACAACAAAGCAGTTTCAGCTGGCGGTCAGGTTATATGCAATTTAATTAGCCCAATGGGAGGGGATCGTTGTCACTGCGATTACTATTACGAGTGTTGCTGTTGGTTCTGCGGTGCTGAAACTATAATCTCCGGGCGGGCGCTAAATGAATTTACAATTAGCATTGCCCACGAAACGCTTGGCAAATATTATCAAACGCTAACTCACGACAATTTGCATGGGTCGGCCATAAAGTGTAGGAGAAATAACTGAAAATATTCTACAAATAACCACGTTTAGTTAACAAAAAAAAAACCATTCGAATATAATGCATGTTTAGGTAGACAATTTGTTTTATGTTACATGAAACATTCACTACTCTTACAGAACCGTTTAAATTTAATTGATAAAGTAGCCTAAATATAAAACCCTTTTTAATTTAAAGTATTATGGAGATCAAATTCTTATAAATGACTAATAAAATAAAAAACACAAACATTAATCTTGGACATAAATAAACTGCTAAGTATACATCATAATGGATCAAATATTACCGCCACTTGAAACTGCCTCTCAAAAAGCGAGATAAACTCTAATTGATGAAAGTGTGTATACACAAAAGTGAAAATTATTTCTATTTTCCATGTGTTTATGGCGCACAATTCATTAACTTCTGTCAGGAGATCATAAATAAAAATTAATCTAAGACAATTTAAGAACGTTTGAACAGGCTCAACTGCCACTGATAAAATTCTGTTCAAGTGCCGTTTGCAAAGATAAGAGAACCCATTTAAGTCACGCGAATGGCGACAAACGCGGGAAAATCATCGATTTCACCGGCAAATGTCAAATGATATCTGCAAGGGCGGCAAAGTGGGTGGTAAGTGGGGAAAATTGGCTTAGCTCTGGCCATGAACAAATATTATTTTTAATATTGCGGTAGAAAACCAGGAAGAGGTCAAGAAGCAACAATAAGTGGGGGAGCGGGGAAAAAGATAAGGAAATGTGTGAAGTAGGAAGGAAGGAAATACCAAAGCTCACATATTCCATATTTACACTTCAACAAAATTAGACTTTGCTTTAAAATCGAATATATTCTATTATCAAATTTCAATTTCTATTTTTCACATAAAAACATAAATATGTCAAATTATAAGTGATGTAAAAGTTTAGAAAAATATGGTATTTTGGAATTTTAAAAATGATATTATTTTGCACAAGCACCTGTTTTTAGATGTAATTATCTTTTATAGTTACATATATATATATATATTCAAACATTGGTATTATAGTTGATATGACTTTAATGTTTCTTATTATCTTGTAACCCTAAAACACTTGAATTAAAATGTTTAATAATCACAATAATGATATTCTAGTTGTATTTATCACTTTATCATGTCTAATAAAAACTTTTTTAACTAGTAGTTAAACCATGATGTTATTTTTTCAGTGTGGCACATGCACGAGAGTTGCTTAGTCAAAATGCAGCTGTCCTGAATCCCTGAAAAGGTCAACAGGAAACGATTTTTCTTGAGTTGCCTGACTTGCCTAAATTTAGCCCAGTTTTCTTTCATTATAATTAAACATTAGTTAGTATACGCCAAAATTCACCGAAGTCATTACCACTTACCCCCTTGTATTTTAACAGCAACGAAAAGCCCCAAACCACCGATTTTACCTAATTATATTTTAACGCACTTGAAAAGGTTCTATACAAATATTGGAGGACCATTTAATGGATATGCAATTTGTACCTTGATGCTCCACATTTTCGGCGGCTTCGTCGCACATTTTTAGGATCCAAAGATTTGCAGCTTCCTTTATAATTTATTTTTTTGGTGGGTGAGTTAAATGCAAACGATTTTCCGTTCAGTCGATATCCAATGCAACCAGACGACGCGCTTTTTCAAGTTCACTTAATATTATTAGCCGATTTAAATCAGTTTCCAGCGTCAACGCTCCAACAACGTCTAATAACAAAATAAACAACAGTGTGACCGCGGAAAAGTTTAAGAAACATACCGTCTTGCGCAGGAAAATATACTAATTATACCATTGTCTTTAAATATACCAAAGATAAGCCTAAAAAAACTTTTTATTAATTGTAACGATACAAAATCTAATAATTTATTCAATAGAAAACATAATTTTTTTGCAACGCAAAAAACTATTTCTTATATATTATTTTCTGGTCAGAAATACACACAAAAATTCAAAATATACCATTAACTGTCACCCTGTAAACAATCGCTTTTAGGGCTGCCAGGCTTTTTACAAAATCGATAGGAAGTTAGTGGTTATCGGAAATACTGGAACTATTTTTGGTAGTCAAAACTACTAAAATTAGCGTGGACTCACTCCAAAGTTTTCTTAAAGTATTTTCTTAGTAAATTAATTGCCATAATGAAAACAAAATAAAGCGTATTAAAATAAATATTTTTAATTTAAAAGAACAAAAACGATTTAAAGAATTAATAAATGGTACAAATAATAATAATGTTAATTGAGTTCACCAACAAAAGCTGCTTGCTAAGCCACTGTTGCTGGATTTTTTAGGCCCTAACCAGCGACAGAGCTGCCCCCCCTCCAAAACCAGTGCTACCAGACCCTGCAAAGTATATATTTTTACAAAATGGTGGCTTCTTCGCGGAGAAATTCGTAGTGGCGATTATTAACAAAAGGCACGCAATTTGGCCAGCGAATTATAGCAAATTGTTGGCGAAAACACTCGGAACGACGCTGGCTGCGGCGTGTGGATGGAAAACTCGCGGAAAAGCAACCAAAAAACGCGCACGAACCCAGTGAAAATAACTGAAAGCGAAGGCAGGCAATAAAAAAACGCAAGCAAGCAACCAAAGTGCGTGCCTGTGTGTGTGTGTGTCTGTGAGCCGTGAGTGTCCGTGTGTGTCTGTACGGGAGTGTGTCTCTCTGTTAGTGTGTGTGTGCGCAAAGTGTATGCAAAAAAGAAGAAGAGAAACGGAGAAGAGCATTAAAAAAAAGCGTACGACGAGTTTCACGCGCCCAACAACAAAAACACCATAAGAAGCAGCAACAAAAACAACAACACTTAGCAGCGACAGCAACAACAAAAGCAGCAGCAAAACGTAAGGAAAAATCTACAAGTGTGCGAAAATTAATTATTACTAAGTGTGTCACTAATTTAATTTGAAATCGCAGTTGCGCAGCGTGCAAATCATTCAAATTTATGCGACGTCTTACGGGTAAAAAAGTACGGAAGAAACGGGAAAAAACAGTGGCGGTCCCCCTTCAATTTTTAAATGGGGGCGGGCGAATCCAGTCTATTATGAACTTTTTGGGGTAGAACAATGCAAACACGAACGAAGGCTCAACAAATTTGCTGAAAAGGAATCGCAAGCGCAGCAGCAGCAGCAACAACAAAGCAAAATCCAAGCGTCAGCAGCAAAGGCAAAAACAACAAGAACTATAACAGGGGCAACAGCAACCCACCACCGTTGTTTCCACTTTGTTGTTGTTGTTATCGTCGGCGTCACCACCGACGCGACGCTCTTGCGGACAGCGCACCCACCACCCCCCAAGGATGCTCCTGTTTCTGACCCCCCTTCTCCTTTCTCTAGCTGCGCCCCTGCGCCCGTGACCGCTGTTCCTTCTGCTTCTTCTTATTCAACTGCTGCTGCTGACGTTGTCGAAAAACGGCGCTTGTTGCCTTTTTGTTGGCTGATAAATTAACAGAAATACTTACTGTCTATGCTCAGGATTTTCCTATCCAGCAAGCTGTTAATAATTCAAGTATGGGACATATTCATAAGAGTTCTAGGGTATATAATATATACATACATTCCATTCTACTTTACTTGAAGGCTCTACAAGTCAAACTATGTATTTTTATTGCCAATAGAGACATAAAACTAAGCATATAAACAATTCTATAGATCCACAGTCCAATACTTTAATTTTTTCTTGGTAGATGGTGTTTTGCGTTATGAAGTACAACGGTATTTAGTTAATTTATTTAGTTAACGAATGATAATTTACGTTATACACAAATTTTTGATATTTTATTCTTAATAATGACATTCTAAAAATTACATAATGCGAGGTATTATATAAATCTGCTAATACATTTTGAGATTAGGTAAATTCTTTTAGTTTAGTTCATAAACCAAAACTAAAGGAACCACTGAGTAGTGGAATAAAAATATTTATTTAAAAGCAAGGTTGATATTTATGAACATTAAAACTATTATTTAAGATCCCAAATAGACAAAGATAAAATTTTGTAAGTTCTTTACCCCAATTGTAACCGCTACTTCTGATGCATTGTTTTTCGGTGGGGGTTTTTAACCATCCCCACACGTTTAATTCTTTAGTTTAGTTCTTTTCTTTGCTTAATCATCTCCCTCGACTCGGCTCTCACCTACGTCATCTCTTCGCCTTCCAGCTGTGTTTGTGCAAATTAACCAAAATATACATTTCCGGCTACTCGCTGCCCCCTCGCTGAGCAACAACTACAACAACATCAAGAACAACAGGAGCAGAGCAGCAGCAACAACCAAGACCGCCCACCCCTTCGCTTCCATCGACCCAGCACATAATCATCATCATCATCAACTGGAGTCTGGAATCTGGAGACGGAGACCGGCGTCCGGAGTTACTTTGCCGCCTGCTGCTGGAGAGAGGAGCTTCTTCGGGAGGAACGCCTCGACGATATACAACCCCGACCCGGATTCATGGTGAGCCAAGACATCTGTTCGACCGGGCACACATTTAATTATAATTATTTGTTTGCTTAATTCGATACTCAACGCTGGCCCCGTCTCATGTGTCACATCCCCTGTTGTTCGGAAGGGTTTCTGGGCTAATGGAGGAAACTATTTTTCCATGGGATCCCAAATCAATTAGACAAACTGGGGGCGTGTGCCATAATCCGCTGTTATTGTTGGTCATATTTGGATTTTTTTGTTGCTTCTCATTTTTGGTCTGGTATTTGGGGGAAAATACGATTATTTTACAGATAAGGGTTATTACCCATAATCAACTAAACCAGATCTTTATCGCAGCTATTTTAGACTGCTAATGAGTTGCCTTGTAGGGCAATTATAATTCCCTTGTTTGGAGCGGAAAATGCTGACCGAGATGAATCAGATGAAATGTGGGGCTGGTAAAAAGCAACTGTTTTCCATATTCAAATCACTAGCTAAACTGTAGAGAACTTTTAAAAGAAAATACACATGACAAAATATAGAACAACGAAAACTGATTCCAGCTAGTGGGTTATATTTTTCTAACATAATCGTTTATAGGTTGGTTGCCTCAGAGCCACTTCTGAATCTAGTTTAATAGGAAACCAATTATAGTACTAGGAGGGCACTTGTTATTCAAATAACATTGTGCAGGCTTAAATTAGAACTAATGAGGGATTACTAGTCACATGATACTCGTATTTTTCGATTGTTCAACGGGGATTTACGGATCTCGTTATCTTTTCTAATGAAGTGCCTTTCTTACCTTTAACCTGCTTTTCGCCAAGTGAAATTCCTGGTAAATCGAGATTGATTTCGAGGAAATTCCCAGACAATTTACACCGCTCGCAACGCTTATCTTTTGGCCCGAACCGCCCATTTCCACATTTCCATTTGCTTGGCGCGTCCGCTTATCTCAACCACCCATCCCACAAAGAGTGCGGCGTCGAGGCCATCTGATTAGAGACGCATTAAAAGGCTGGAGTGTTTAATTAATAAATAACGTGCTAATAATGCATTTAATAAAAAAGCGAAACGTACGCTGCGAACGGAAACTCAAGGGGCACAAATAACACGAATATTTCAGTAACACAAATACCAAAAAAGAAACATAAAATGCTGTTGGAAATGGATGAGTTCCCTTGCGGTTTTCCTGCTCTTCTGGTTTGGATCGGTTTTATATTTTGTGTTGAGCTTTTTTTATTTGGTGTGTTTGTTACACAGTTGCTGGCTGCCTTTGATGTCGGTGTTTTGTGCGCGCTTTCATATTTTATTATTAGTCATTTGGCTTATTTATAAGGTGCCGTTAAAGTTTAACTTTTATTAATCTGTTTTGTTGCGCTTTTAATTTATAAGTGCTGCTTATCTGATTGAAAAGTCCGTCCGTCCATCCGCGCACACTTGACTCGAGTGTGTCGATTTATTGGTGTCGATTAGAAGTAAGCGGAAGGTTTCCCCCTTTGATCAGAACCCTCCTTAGCCCCTTTTAGCTCTGCTGTCCATTACATAAGCGGCGAATTAATTAGCATTGCTGACGGGGCAGCCAAGCGACTTGATCTAAGCCATCCCCTCGACTAAAGCTGCCCCAGAGTGCTGGAAAAACCTAGGCCCTAGAGGTGTGTACGTGAGATAAACTCGTGCGGTGGTAACTGGAAATTGAAAGGGTAAACACAATTAAGTTTGTTTACCTTTTACCATTGTCTGCCACTTGTAGAATATTAATACTAAATTATCAGTGATTGGTTATCGATCACTTTTAAAAATAAACTTGACAACTTCGAATATCAACACGGAAGGTAATTGAAATAATAGGATTTTTTTGGTGGTACTACCAATAGTAGGTAGCGGCAGATATTGCCAGAGTCAATGATGTATTCAATTATTTATTGATTGATTTAGAAACATATCTTACAAACACAACCAATATGTGACTACCGGGGGAAAAAAACCTATCCGCCTCAAATGTTTTTATTTAAATAATATACTCGTACTTCGCATTTCCTCACGATGGCATCGTTAGTCAAACATTGCCAGTGCTAAATCAATCCCATTTACTGTTTCTGTTACGTGTTAACTCCATTTAGCGATAAGATAATTAGCACACACAAAGTGCCTATTAAAACGTACAATGCCAAGCGATGTATTTGTGGCTGTATATCAGCGTATTATTATTATTTATACTTTATTTATAAAGCGGGAAAAAAATAATACAAATAATTAAGCTCGTGTTAATCAGTGTAAAATCAATGAACAGTCCGAAGTGGGTGAGAATATAATGCAAAAGCGTGTTAAATGGGCCCATAAATCTTTGGCGCTGTGTGTAATTCTATTAGCTGAGCGGAATAATACGGGGTAAGAGTTGGACGGCACATGCAAAGAGCTCATTTACAAACATACAGCCACTCGTGCAATGGCAAACAAACAAATAACGACAGTTCCATAAACACTAGAAAAAAGGGACAACGACGGGGAATAAAAAGGCACAGGGAAAAGGGCCAGACACAGGCACCCCGCACATCCTGCTGTCTCCAGACGAGACACATCCCGACATAAGTAACACGAAACAATTTCCAAATGAAGCGCGGATAAGCCGCAAAATCCTTAAAATACTCGATAAAATTACATTAAACTAATCGCACAAGCACACGCACACACACCAAGCCGCAGACTACAGAATTGGCTGGATACTTAGGGCGGAAAAAGGGGGTGGAGGATGAACAGAGCTTGAGGTTGAGACGAGGGACGGCGAGCAAAATGATGAAGGTATCTACACCGACAATCTGTTTAACAACTTCATGAGCAAATCCAACAAATCGTATGAAACGAAGCCGACAGCAGGCCAACAGACACGAGCTGACGTCGTATTACGATTCGGATTCGGATTCAGATTCGGTTTCGGATGCAGACGACCCCAGTTCGGATCGGTTCAGTTCGCATCGGATCGGGCCAATGAATTTGCACCTGGGGTGGACCTTGAGTTCAGGGTTTATGAAAGGCATAGAACAAGTTATTAGCAAAGAATGTCTATAGATGGTTTATCAGTCTCATATTTCCACACAATAATGCATTTGTAAGAGTTTTTCCAACAACCAGTAGTTATCGGATTATATTTTGTAAAAAATGGAAACCATTTCTTTTTTCTTACAAATCGATCCAGCTTATTTTATAATAAGGAATTAAACTAAACTTAAGGATTCGAAGTTGGAAATGGAGGTGGTATACTATCTATAAAGCCACCTCAATGTTTTGACTGCTCTTTGAAAAAGTTTTTTCCGAAAAAAAATAATCAATTGATATCTTTTGATAGTATCAATTTAAAACTTGGACAGCAAACGGTTACTTATAATAAGCATGTGGCTTTGCCATAAAGCAGCATTATATTCAAGGCATTTGTTTGCGTGTGATTTGGATGAAATGTAGAATGTTCAGTATGTTATATTTAGGATTAGATCCTATACAGGTCCACCTTAAAGCGCACAGGCTAGCAGAGAAGGGAGTGCAGCGGCAGCGCTGTGGGTCGTTTATTTGGCTTTTGGAGCGTTGACTCGTCGTCGTCGGCTGTGCGATGATGATGATGATGCCGACGACGACGACGACGGAGACGGAGACGAGGCTGCTTGAATAGATGCTCAATCGTTTGGGTTGAATGAAGAAAAGCATGTGGAGTGGCGAGTGGAATGGAGTGAAGTGGCCTGGAGTCCGTGTCCGTGTCCATGTCCGTATCCGTGTGTGTGGCAGAGATTGGAGCATGAATAGGAATGCCGGGGAGAGAACGAGGAGGTGGAGGTGGAGGTGAAGGAGGAGGAGGAGTAGCTCCAGCGTGAGTGCCACTGCGGTGGCATAATGTTCTTGTTGATGTTGAGTAATGGGCATAACAACTGTAAGCTGCCTGTCCAGACAAAAACGAGAAACAGAACGGACCTGAAACCTGCTGAAACAAACTCGGAGCGGAGCGAGTCGAAAAATGTCCAACAGAAGCAAACAATTCCATTACCCGGGCGAAGAAAAGAGAAATTTGTTTTATGGGTTTTTGGTTAAACGCTTCGTCTCTCACACTTCCTAGCCACTTTACCATCAGGCTTTGTTTGTTTCTTTCTGACTTCTGCAACGTCTGTTTTGACTTGTTGTGAAAATTTGGCTTTCACAACACGAATCCGGCTACTTATATACACACACAAGTTGTCTCTGCAAAGTGCCTACGAACATTTAATGGGATTTCCGTACTTGACACGAACCCTTCAAATGGACAGATGCACAGGCACACCGTTATTCACTCAAACGGTCTCTATATGGAAGGTGTATGTATAAATGCCTACTTTATAGCCCTCGGTCGAAATGCCTATGACGAACTCAATTGGCCATGCTGCATGGTTAAAATTTGTGTGTGCGGCTCGTCTTGGTAATTAAATGGACTCCTCTCGAACGCCTTAATAGAGAGGCTTTTGTTATGCCCTCGGGAATGCGGCAGAGCTGGGCAATTTCAGTTGGGTTATTTAGGTGAGGTTTTAAGGGGCTCTGAAGCGGTTAAATTAGAGGAATTTCTTTTTTGTTTATAAGAGGGGGGAGTTGAGGAATTTACAGAATCAATTTTGATGGAAAATAGCCATTCACATGAATGGCTATGAAATTTGTTGTTTATGGCATAAACAACACTGAAGACAAGTAATATATTAGCATTTAAATATTGGGCAAGCATATTTGAAATGTTTTGGATGGCTAATTTATTAAAAAGAAAATAAATAACATATTGAGTGATCATTAAATTATTTGGCAGGAAATTCATTTCATTTCAATGTATGAACCTATTGGTAATATTTCTTTATATAACTCGGTATAAACAACAAGGAACAAAAATAAATCATAAAGTTAATAAGCAAACTCAAACGAATAAAAGTTATATTCTGAAATTCTAGAGTGCACTTGAGTGTGTTAATTTAAAGGTCTAAGCTGAATGAATCATTGAATACACAAATGGGCTATAAATAAAATAAACAAAATAGCCATGCACAGAATACACAGAATACAGGAATACAACTGGGATCAAAGGTTCGCTTGAGTGGTTCAATTGAAAGTTCCGGTCGATTGGACAAGTTCAGAGCGATTGAACCCCACTCGAGTTTGTGGCGAGTCAATCGAAAAGTGAAGGATTCTACGTTTTCCACCCTTTTTGCATCGACCGACGGACACGGGGTCTCCCAATCACAGCCGGGGGTCTAATTCATTTACAGCCATATCACTTAAACTTCGCCATCGCGTAGCCCGGGGAACTAACCTAATAATCTCTCGCTGAGAGTCCCGTGTTGATAAGGATGAAGTAGTCTCGGGTTTTATGGCCACACCACCCTTAATGTACAGTTGCGGCATAAGGGGCTCTTGGAGTTGTCTGTCTGTCTGACGCTCTTATTAACGCCATCTCGTAGTTGTTGCCGCCGTAGCTGATGCCTATTTGTCAGTCAATTAGTCAGCTTATTGGCAAGCGATGATTACAAAGAGAAAAACAAGCTAAAAGCTAAAGCTAAGCGGGAGAGCCAAACAGCCGACATGCCAGCCGACGACAGTCGACAGCTTTTCCATTTCAAAATTATACTCAGTGGCGCAGTGGGAGCTGCTCGAGTGGGACAGAGAAAGACGGAATGTGCGAGCGAGAGGCCCCTCGTCTGATTTTCCCCACTTTTCCCGCCCAACCCGCATCACCCTCCCTCCCCTTTGGGAAGCCACTCGCGTCCGTTTAGCCGCGTGCGTACACACAATTTTCCGCTACTCATGCTACAAATTGTTTATTGAATTTCCTCTTTCTGTGGCTGTTGTCGATGTTGTTCGTTGTTACACTCGGAAAAAACACAAATAATATCGTTTGATATTACTATGAAAATATTTCTTACCCCAAAAAGATGAAAAAGTTTAGTAAATATATCTTCGAAGTGCTTAAATATCATATATATTTAATATAAAATTATCTAAATCATATGTAATGTGTCTCATATTTGATTTTACACAAACCATATGAATTGTGAATATTGAATCTTAACCAAACCATTTTTCTCTGTGTTATTCTGCTGTTGCTGCCGTTGGCTTTCCAAGTTTTTATTTTCATTTACATTTCTCGCTTTGTTTTCGTTTATGTTTATGGGCTGTTTAGAAAACAATTTCCAGCCACAGATAGGGGACGAGTCGAAGTTGTTAATCCAGTGTAACTTTATAATATGCGATGACATTAATTGAGCGCAGACGGACGCGCCAGTTGAGACTGACAGCATTATTGGCCTTAAATTTACACGCAGGTCGGATGGGCCAAAGGGGAAAATGTGGGGGGTCCCAGGAAAAGCCAAGCCAAAGCCAAAGCTGTAGCTGGAGCCAAACCGACATTGCTGACTCACAGAGTGAGAGCCAAGTACTCGAGAACGTCACGTAGTCCATGTACAGACTCTACCCGACTCGTGCCGTCTCTCTCGCTTTCTGTATATCCCTCTCTTTCTCCAGACTGTGCCATAATTTGTGGTCTTTTACGGGGAAAAAGGGACTGTAGAGCTGAAAAGGCAGGCAGGAAGGAGGAGGGCAGGAGGGAGTGGCGAACACACGGAGGGCACTTTTCGGTGGTGGCAAATGTGTTCGAGCCTTTCGTTTTGTCTTTTCAGATTTTATGGCTTTGTGCGTTTACAACGTCGCTTTTTGTAGTACATTTGTTTTATAACAGCCGCCCGACACCGCCAGCGGAAAGCCGCCACAGAATAGAGCCGCAGGCAGCGGGAGGAACAGCTTAGCACATTGCCAGCAGTTATTACACAATTTTTCCCCAAGCGCCAGTCAACCAGCAGCCCAAAAGGCAATGCACAGTGGAAAATTCCGAAAATGATCAGGGGAAAATCACTTTTGGGCAGAGATTAAATCAATCATTTTCCGGGGTGACTGAATTGCAACCCCTATTTTTGGTTACGTGTAGGGTTTTAGGTAGTTTGATAATCAATACTACAAGAAAGTTGATTTGAAAACATGCAGCTAATTCTTAAAATGATTTTTATATAAGTTTGATAAAAGTTTAAATATTCTGTTAATATGTTATGATATGATGTGATATAAGATAATCATTATTTTCTTTCTGTGCTGCAGCCCGGGGGCCAACAGCAGCAACCCACCGACAATGCTCGGCATGTGGGGATTGGGGGATTCAGTCGGTCGCGTGCCCTGCGCCCTGGTGGCCACCGTCACCTTGTGTGTGTTTATATGAAATTTTTCCACTCACGACTCCCCCATAAAAAAGTTTGCTGCCAGTTAAACCAACCAGCCAAGCAGTCAAAGCCCAACCAGGCCAACAGGGCCAGGCCAAAGCCAAAGCAAGTAACCTGGTCCGATGTGGTGTGGCTTGGAATGGAGTGGTGTGGTGTGGTGTGGTGTGGTATGGTGTTGCTGCTGATGTCGTTGATAAGTGTTGGCCCCAAACGCAGACCGTTCGTTGCACAGTGGAGCAGACTTCTAAGTTTCGAGGTTTCAAGCCAGTAGATAAGCTATATTTCTTATTTTTAAATAAATTGGTTCTTGTTTTAGGTTCCCACTGAATAAAAATACAAAAACAATTTTAACAAAATCAATTTTACTTGTAGAGATAGCAAAAAGTGTCTCATTACAAATGTTCAAACACTTTTGCAGCTTTATTAGACTTTGAGGGTGATGAGGAAATAAGTAGAACACTACTGATACCGAAAAGCAATCCATTGATATCTCAGCTTTTACGCTTGGTAAACAATTATTCATAGGTAAATATTCATCGGCATATTTTGCTGGCAGTCAAACAAAAGGCAGCAGAAATACTTGTATTCCTTCCCTCTGACGGTCATGAATATTTCATGTGTGTGGCTGTGCCGAGGGGATTACCGAATCGAATCGCTGAGACCACGGTGCAACCCCAGGTCCAGGTCCTACACTCCCAGGCGTTTTGTGCCCCTCCTCCTGGTCCACCTCCTCCGGGATCGTGGCGTGGAACCCTCCGCGTCCCGCTCGCCGTTGTCGTCAGTCATTTAGGCGGCGTGTCGTGCCTTATTGAGTGTAAATCTGTCGACAATGCGCACATACACCTCTATATAAGTGTATATATATCTGTTTTTGGTTCTTTTTTTTTTTGTGCCTGCCTGTGCAGATCCAATGCGAGTCGGGCAGTCGTCGTCATCGCTCCCGTAGCTGTCGCTGCATTTAATTAATTGATTTTAATTGCCATAATTTGTGTGCCGCTGCCACACAACCGCAACACCGCCGGCATTCCTGATGTGAGACGGCAGGCAACGCACTACGTCCGTCCGTTCATTTGCCTGTCATTGTGCATTGCCAATGATATTGATTCATAAGCAAATTTAATGATAATTCCTCTTGGTGGGGTTGGGAATGGCATCGGAATGGGTATGGGATACATGGGATGGTATGGGACCGGAGGAGGCTTACTTAACCGCCTCGTTACAGTTATTCGCGGACTTACTTGAGCGGAAAATCTGTTTACAGCTGCACGCACACTCGAGAGACAGCGCCAGACAAGGCGAAGAAACAAAAAACCAGCCAGTGATGGTTTGAAAAAATTCAGTAAAAACGGCAGAGAAGAGTTATATGGGATACCGAAGCTGGGATTACCCTAGGTCACAAAAGAAGAGCTTATCTAAAAAGCTTAATAAAAATACAAATTCGATTGGGAACCAATATTTTATGGGTGAATTTTGTTTTCAGAAGATACACAAATCTATTATCAGTTAGTAAACAAATATTATATTATTTGTGGTCACCAAAGGGTTTTTGTTAAGCAAGATGAGAAAAAGAAGACCTTTAAATCACAAACAACTGGTCAAAACTATCGAATCTCCTGGTAAAGGGTATAATAAATGAACCAGCTAAGCAGACCAAAGCGAACCAAAGCAAAACCATCCGTCTGTCAGTGCCACAGTCCAATCCCCAATCCTCCGAATCCCGCGGGGTCTGTACGTGGCGGGCGCATTAACATATGCAGGCGATTAAGTGGCAGAGAGACTCAATCGTCCGACAGCATAAACCCCTAATTTCCCGGTCCCGTCAGCCGTGTCCCCCGTCCATTCCCCCTCTCATCGTCACTCCATCGTTCGCACATTACACGGCATTTTTTTTATGGATTATTTATTTATGCATGTTGATATGAACTTCATCGCTTTATTGAAAATGCTTTTTTACCCCGACACACTTTCCCCTGTTGCCGGCCGTTCTCTCTCTGTTTGAATCCTTTTTTGTTAACGAATTTTCTCTGTGTGCTTGGATCTATTTGCAGTTGAATTTTCATATCGTAGAGGGCATAAAAAGGCTTAACACTGGACCGGAAGCGTGTTTTTAAAGGGTGATGGCGGCCTCCACTCAAGGAGAAATTCGAGTGGGTCCCGGCCACCAGGTAAACGATGTCTATGTACGTACATAACTCTCACAAATCAGAAATTCAGCTCACGGTAACAAAAAAAACAAAGAACTACAAAATTTAACAATTATGCAAAACGAAAATGTAGCCCTTATTTCTTTTGTTTTTTGCAAAAGTTGTAATTTATGATCCTTTGTTCTTCCTTTTGGATGTCTTAAACAAAAAAAAATTGTTTACAAACTGTTTTTTCGTGTAGCCTTTGAGGGAACGAGATATAAATAAAGAAATAAATGATTCCTTTTCCGTTTTGATTTCAATCAAGTTTTGCGAAAACGGAACTTATAAAGTTTCACTCTTTTTCGGCACAGACTAAATGAATATCTATTTACATGCCAATATTTTGTTTTCCGCTAACTTTAAATCATTCGTTAAAGAAACAGTGACGCTTAAGTTCTTTTCATTAGTGAATTTTGAAACTTATAAAGTACTGGATATTTTAAACAAGTCTTTCTTTCCTGTTATTGATTTGATGTTCACTACCTAAGTTCTTCACTTCTGTATACTAATATATGCAACCAGAACTCATCACTATTCTATATCATTCGATTCGATCGTTCTCTTCCAAAAGGCTACAACAAAGTGCATATCTTTAAATATTTCGGTTACTCTTAGCATAACCTTTTCAAAAGTATCCCCTGTATATAACGCCTAATCCCTGTAAATAATTCGTAGTTCTAGCGTTTATGCAATTGGCTCTTACTAGTTCAAATCCTCGACGAGTAGCAGTTGACCCAGATCCAGATCCAGATCCCAATCTATTTCCCTGCTCCCTTCCCAAAATCCGTTCGAGGAAATCCGTAGCACACATTATACATTATTCATCCATAATCATGCATTAGACTTAAGTTTGTGTATCATCTCGTGGGTGCTGGTAATCCCCCCGGATTGCCGGCACTAGCTGTCTTGCCTGTGGTGTGTAGTGTGCGTGGTGTGGTTGTGTGACTAACCCATCAATCGTTCTCCTGGAGTTTTTGAACTAATCCCGAAACTTTTCGTTTGTCTCCTATGACGACTGAAGGCAAAACTGCCCGATTATAATCCAATCTCAAGCTTCCCCATCGACAAGGAAACCGATGAACGTGAACTAGAGGAATCAAGATGGAGTCCAGGCGTTGTGGCCGATGGCGACTTGTTAATGTTCTTGCGTGCGGCTCGCTCCATGGCTGCATTTCAAGGAATGTGTGATGGCGGACTAGAAGACGGTTGTTTGGCTGCCAGTCGCGACGACACCACAATAAACGCACTCGACGTGGTGAGTTTCCCGAGATGATATATGCATTTACCGAACTCTATTTAATCAAACCAAACCCCTTTGCAGCTCCACGATTCTGGCTACGATCCAGGCAAAGCTCTACAAGCGCTAGTAAAGTGCCCCGTTTCTAAGGGCATCGACAAGAAGTGGACCGAGGACGAAACAAAGAAGTTCATCAAGGGTCTGCGTCAGTTCGGCAAGAACTTCTTCCGCATCCATAAGGACCTGCTGCCGCACAAGGACACGCCGGAGCTGGTCGAATTCTACTATCTGTGGAAGAAGACGCCCGGTGCGAACAACAACCGTCCGCATAGGCGGCGACGACAGAGCGCCCTGCGCCGAAACCGTGTCACGCGGGCCAATAACAGCAGCAGCAACACACCTCCCAAGAAGGAGGACACTCCAGAACCACAAACTGCGACGACGGCGACGGCGGCGGCAACCGCGGCGTCCGAGACGGCGAGTCGCTCCTCGCCCGCTGTCTCCAAGGAGGAGAACAGCTCGCTCACCGAGGACGACGCCAGCGAGTGCGACAGTGATTCGAGTCTGACCCACAAAAGGGATGAATCACCCTCAAGGATGAGGACGCGAAACAAGCAACAGAACAACAACAGCAGCACCAGCAGCAGCAACAACGCGGCCGGAAACGGTGGCGGTAACGCCACCTCCATAAGCAGCGGTTCAACAGGCGGCGGTGCCGCTGGCGGCAACAGCTCGTCCAAGGACCAGTCAGCCAACGCCGTGGCTAATGGCAAGCGGCCCAAGCGGGGCTCCGAAACACCGGACGTTGCCGGCGGAGCCTCGGTCGATAGTCCCAAGACGCCGACGAAAGCCGTGGCCGAGAGTTCGGCCAACAAGCGCAAGGGTGGCAAGCAGGATACGCCCAACAAGAAGAAGCGGACGGAGCAGGAGGCCAGTGAGCCGAGTGCCCAGGAGGAGAATGCCGTCAAGGAGAAACGCAAGCGGCCGGACAGTCCGGTGGAGAGCATGAACTCGGATAGCAGACCGGACTCGGTGCTCGACGATGGCGAGTCCAATACGACGGACACGACCACCGCCGAGCAGCAGTCTACTAAGGACAGCAAGGAGACGGTCAGCTGCAAGGAGGAGCGCGATATGGTCACCAATGATCTGGAAGCCAAGGCCGAGGAGAAAGCCATCAAGGCAGAGGCTTTGGCAGAGGACAGCAAGGACAGCGCCATCAAGAACATGGACGAGGAGACGAACATCCAGGCGCCGATGAGCGTGGAGACGAGTTCGGCGGACGGACCCAATCCCAATGCCGTGGCCAATCCCGTGGCGCCGCCCATTACCATGAAGGTGCCCACAATTGCCACTGTGGAGGCGCTGAATGCATCCGTGGAGCGCAAGGAAGCCATCGAGAAGATGGAGTCGTGCGACAGCGATCCGGAGATGCTCAAGAAGCTGGCCACCATCAAGCAGGAGGCTTCTTCGCAGCAGCAGCAACATATACAGCAGCAATCGCAGATGCAGATGCAGCAGCAACTAGCTCCAGTGGGCATCCAGCCACCGCCAGTATGCCCGCCCTCGGAGTCGGTATACATCAAGAAGGAGCCCATGGAAGACTCGATGGACGCCACCTGCAATCAGAATAGCAACGAGCCCCAGGATCTGAAGGTAAAGATTGAGATCAAAAACGAGGATGCTCTGAAGCACAGTGTGGGCGGTTTGCCGCCATCTGGTCCCGGTGCACCACCTTCAGCACTGCATCCACTTTCCGGAGCTCCTGTGGAGAGTGGTCAGCCGGAGCCGCTGCACCTGCAGCACATGTCACACGGACCGATGCCGACGCAACCGCCACCCGGCTACCTAATTGATGGCCAGCTGAAGTACGGACCGCCGGGACAAGGTGTTCCTCCACAGCCGCCACAACTGCATAGCGATGCGGTAGGAGGAGGCAATGGGGCACCGCCGGGAGCGCCGACAACGCCGCAGAAATATCCGCCCGAGATGGAGATGAAGTTCGCTCCCCAGGATCTCAAGTATCCCCCACCGCCGCCCCTGGACGCACTCAAGTATAGTCAGGAGATGCAGGCAGCGGCGGCTGCAGCGGCTGCTGTTGGCAAATATGATATGAAGTACATGATGGAGCAGCAGGGCAAGTACCCCGTAGAGCTGTCCACTGCCCATCAGCCGCCAAGCAAGCCGGGCTACCAGGATTCGCTAAAGATACCCGATGTAAAGCCTGGCTTTGGTCACCTGCCGCACAACGTAGGCTCCCAGCTGGACGTGGGCCATAAGTATGGACCGCCGCCAACGTCACAGGAGTCCCAGCAACAGCAGTCCCAGCCACCGGCGCATCAGGTGCCTCCGGGAGCCACGCCGCCGCCTGGCATCGCCATGCCCAAGCCGCACTACCAGCACGATGTGCAGACGCCACCGCTGGGACGGCCCTTCGAGCCATCCGGTCTTATGCTCAAGTATGGCGATCCACTGGCGGCCAAATACGGTCCGCCACAGGATCTTAAGTACCCAATGCCTCCGGTCTCCCAGACAGGACCAGCCGACGTTAAGCCGTATGGGGAGAATCTGATCAAGTCCTCACCGTATGGACCGCCGCCGGAGAGTCCAATCGACGCCTCGGCGCGATCTACACCAGGTCAGGATAGCCAGGGTAGCAATAGCAATTCGCAGCCGCCGTCAATGCCCCCGCAGCCGCAGCAGTTCCAGTCGCCGCATCCTTCGCCGCACATGCCTTCGCCAGCCGGAGGTGGCCTGCCACCAGGAATGCATCCGCAAAACCTCATCCATGGCCCGCCACCAGGTTCAGCGGGAGGTGGTGGACCGCAACCGCCTCCACCGCCCACATCGCTGCACCAGCCAACGCCCACGGCTCCGGGTCCGCCAAGTTTGCAGCACGGATTGCATCCTGGTCACCAGCATCCGCAGCTCTCTGCGGCCTCTTCGATGCCGCCGAGCTCCATTGGAATTCCTCCTACGCTTTCGACAATGGCGCCTTCGCACATGCACCCGCACCTTCACCCACATGCGCATCTGCAAGGACTCCATCGGCCGCACGACTTGCCGCCCAGTATGCATCCCCATGCGCCCATGCCGCTGTCACTGCAGGGACATCCGCAACACGTTCACGGATTGCCGCCCTCGCATGCCCCCCAGCAGCAGCAGCAACAACAACAGCCGCCTGGCGGACCAGTTGGCACGGTGCGAACTCCATCACCTGCCCAGCAACCGCCGCGATCCCTTCACGATCCGCAATCGTCTAGAGAGCCGCCAAATTCGCAGCCTTCCACCACGATGGCGGGTTCGAGTGGTCCCGGTGGACCACCGCCGCAACAGTCGCCGCACGCGCACCGCACATCGCCGTTGCCCGGTCTCTCGGGCAGTGGACCGCCGCCGCCTGGACTCATCGGGCATCCGATGGCCATACATCCGCACCTGGCACACCTGCCGCCTGGTCATCCGGCCCACGCAGCTTTAGCTCATCCCGGACACCATCTGCTGTCGCACTCGATAGCAGGCTTGGGTCCCGGCGGTGGACCCATCGCCTTGCTGGCCGGCCCCGGCGGACTGGGAGGTATTCCAGAGTCCGCTCTAAGTCGCCGAACCCCGCCCTCACACCTGCCACACTCGCACGCCTCCTCGGCCCCGCTGACGCCGCATTCGGTGGCCAGCATGACGTCTACCAGTATGTCGCTGACCACCAGCACGGTGCCATCGTCCGCCTTTAGCCGCGCCAGTCCCAGCGTGCAGATCTCGAGCGGCGGAGGAGGGCCTTCTGGGCCCGGAAGCGTGGGACCCGGAGGATTGCCCAACTCCTCGGCAGCGGCGGCGGCAGCTGCAGCAGCGGCTGCCCATCGAGCGGCTTCCCCGGCGTCCAGTGTGAGCAGCCTGAGTCGCCAGAGCCCGTTGCATCCGGTGCCACAGTCTCCGCTCAGCCATCATCCCTCGTCCTCGGCGCTGTCCGCCGCGGCAGCCGCTGTGGCGGAAAGGGACCGGCATGCGCTGATGCGACAGCAATCGCCGCACATGACGCCGCCACCGGTGTCCAATGCCTCGTTGATGGCTAGTCCTCTGAGCAAGATGTACGCTCCTCAGCCGGGTCAGAGGGGTCTGGGGACTTCCCCGCCACCTCACTTGCGACCGGGAGCCTCTCCGCCGGTCATTCGACACCCGCAGATGCCCCTGCCGCTGCCATTGATCGCGCCTGGCGGAGGAATCCCTCAGATTGGAGTGCATCCGGGACAGTCACCGTACCCGCATCCTCTGCTGCATCCCTCGGTCTTCTACTCGCCGCACCATCATCCCTTCAATTCGCCCTACGGCTATACACCTTATGGCCCTGGATTCCCGGCGTACATGAAGCCACCACCTCAGCCAGGACAACTGGATCCGGCCGCCGTGATGGCCGCCCATCATGCTGGACTGCAGGGACCACCGCCCCAACAGATGCGTCAGGATGAGCAGAATGCAGCGGCCGCTGCGGCAGCAGCAGCTGCTGAGAAACAGCATCAAGCCGCAGCAGCAGCAGCAGCTCAACAGCACAAGGCGCCGCAGCAGCAGCAGCCCGGTGGAATGCAACCTAACAAGCCGCCGACGCCAAAGACGCCGCAGGGTCCTGGCGGTGGAATGCCACCGGGAATGGGCGGACCGGGAACACCGACGGGACTACCGCCTGGTGCCTATCCTGGCAGTCACATGCCGGGATATCCACAAGGGCCTCCTCACGGATCACCCTTCGCGCCGCAAGATGGTCAGCCTCACGGCCTGAAGCCCACTTCGCACATGGACGCCCTGCGAGCCCATGCACACTCGGCCAACTCGGCGGGAATGGGCGGAGGACATCATCCAACGGAGCCATGTAAGATGGGGGCAATCCAGTGATTAGTGAGTGGAAGGTAATAATTCAATATGTTCTTATTTGCAGTGCCCATTGATATTGAGCCGGATCCGGAGCCAGAGATTCCCAGTCCCACGCACAACATACCACGTGGTCCCAGTCCCGAGGCGAAGCCGGACGACACCGAGTGCCATCGCTCTCAGTCTGCCATGTAAGTGTCTTACCACGTGAAATTACATTTGAAATTGCTCCCTGATTAATTATATTATCTTGTCAACACAGATTCGTACGCCACATTGATCGCGGAGATTACAATTCGTGCACGAGAACGGATTTGATCTTCAAGCCAGTGGCCGACTCCAAGTTGGCCCGCAAACGCGAGGAGCGCGACCGCAAGCTGGCCGAGAAGGAGCGTGAGCGGCGTCAGGTTAGTGGAGATGCCATCTAAAAGAGGAACAAATCTAATGTTATTATTAATCCCCCACAGCAGCAGCAACAACAACAACAGCAGCAGCAACAACAGCAAGCAGCAGCCGCTCAACAGGCGGCGCAGCAGGCCAAGATGAAGGCGGAGCTTAAGCCTCCGTATGCGGATACGCCTGCCCTGCGCCAACTGTCCGAGTACGCTCGTCCCCACGTCGCCTTCAGGTAAGTGTCGCGGGGATGGAGGAACCACTCCCCCTGGAATCTTCTGTCTACTGTTAGGTTTCAGTTCAGTTGTCTTCTGTCGTTTCGCTCTTCCTGAATTAAACTCCATCTGGGAGTTCACTTAGTCGCGTTTGCTGATTGTAATTATTTCCATTCAATTCAATTTCAGTCCTGTTGAGCAGATGGTGCCATATCATCATCCAATGGGCCCCATGTACAGAGAGAGGTACAGTACCAAAGCCTGCCAAGCCCTCAATTCAATGAAAAATCCAATATACACAACCATTAAACCTCTCATGCCTCATAAAAATTCTATTCACACCCCACAAAAACTCGATTCTTATCACCACCTCATTTTCCCATACTAAACAGTGCTTTTCGGGATTATAGAACTAACCCAATAATAAGTTACATTCAAATTTTATATTCTTTAAAGTGATTTTGTATTAATGATTAAAACTAATATAAAAATTGAAATTTTTATGCCCCCTCTAAACTTATTTAATAACAACCATATTAAAATATATCCTTAACTAATTGGTTTAACTTAATCGGGTTGTTTTAAAAGGATCCCTAAACGCACTAACATTCCCATTCATTAAACACAATCCATTCTGAAACGCACCAACATCTCCCCAGCTTAATCCCCGCCAGCTTTTTAAGAATTCGATATATTATGCGCACGTCGAAATTTATGCTTGAGCTATTTATCATTTGCAATATGGCCCTCTCCAAGCCATGATTCCTAAACCAAAAACACATATATTCCCCTGCTGCCAGCCATTAATCCTGGTGCTCGTACTAAATGTTGAATACTTGCAGGGAACTGGAGGAGATCAAAAACGCACAAGCTGCGGCTGCTAGTCAATCCCGACTAGATCCGCACTGGATGGAGTACTATCGACGGTGGGTTAAAGCTTGTTTAAGATTATATAACCTGAAAATAATTCTGTAGATCCATTTCGAACTATCCCAACAGCGGCATCCATCCCTCGCAGTTCCCCCTATATGCGAATCCTGCGATATCGCAGATGGAGAGGGAGCGTCTGGGAATTCCACCGCCGCACCATGTGGGGTTGGACCCGGGCGAGCACATGGTGCGTATGGTAGGCTACACTTCTTTTTTATTCCACTCGACTCATATTCACAAAATCAATCGTATTTGGAACGTCAAGCGATCGAACCGCAAAACCGAACCAATCACTATGTCCACTTGTCAGCTCACCTGTTAACCAGTCCAGTACCCGCATAAAAACCCAAGCACGTGTCCCGTCATGCTGTTCATGTTCTGTGCTAACCATTATTTGCCATGCCATGCTTTTGCCCCCTCGACGGGGCACCTAACCAAAAAAAAAAAAACAAACAAAATAAATCAAATCGACATCTGTCGCCATCTAACCCGCATTACGCATCGTTACATAAAACTCTGTTAATCTTCTATTGGCGTCCACGCCCACGCAGCACTGGCTCTTTTGAAACTTTCTACGATATTCAATAATTTTCAGATACGATTGACGAGAGAATATCATGCACACTCTCATACTCATTTACATTTGCCTTTGCATCCACAGCCGCAACCACCGGAGGCCGGTTTCCAACTGCCACGTGAGTTTGTATAGCCCTCGAGGTTTTCGCCCCGTTTTATACCCCCCACAGAACATTTATTTAACTGATACACCTTTTTTCTCATTCACATTTCAGCGAATGTTGGCCAGTATCCGCGGCCAAATATGCTTATACCTAGGGAGCCGCATTCGGATGTCCTGCTGCGTATGTCCTATGCCGACCAATTACAGGTTTCCCAATTCCCCACCCCACATCCTAACTCATTAATTACATATATACAGTATTTACAGGCCGCCGAGTTCCAGCGACAGTCCCTGCATGATCAGTACTTTAGGTGAGTTTCGTTGGGAATAGGAAAATAATGTTAGGGGTGTCTTAAAAATCTAAAATAAATATTATCTAAATAAATATCGGAAATAAAATGTTCAAATGTCATTTATAATATAAAATTGCTTTATAATGTTATAGACTTTTAAGACACATTCCAGATAATAGGAATAAATCTATATAATATTTAATAATAAAAAGATGGGATTGATATGATCTTAAATCTAATGAATTCGACAAGTCTGTTGTATAAAAAAATATGCTAGGCTCATCCAACCCATTTATAGTTATAGTTTATCACCGTTTTCGTGTTTGCTTATGTTGCATTTATGTTTCTGTTTCCGTTTCCGTTTGATCATCGCCCGCTCTCTCTCATCCCCACAGACAACGGCCCAGATAAGTGGACAGACAGCAATTGTAGAGAGCAAGCAACTGAACAAAGACAATACTCGGGCCGCGGCCGTGAGGAACTGCTTTGTGTGATTTTTGTGTTCAAGCGTTTACATTTTGTTTTCCACACATACAACCCCCACATACTCACCACAAAAACCACCAACATCATCAGCAGAGACGACGTCAGCGTATGGCTCAGAAATCCAGAAACCAGAAATCCAAGCGACTCTAAGTTGCGCATCGCCTTGTCACGTTTTTATGTAAAAAGTTAGTAAGCCCTTTTTGATTTAACTCATCCCAATGCTTGAACTCATTTAGTAAATGTTTAACTCGACATCATGCCGTACTTGATCTAATCTGATATTTTGATAAACAGGAATCAGCTGCGTTAATCGGGAGTGGATCGTGGATCGTTCCAGCTGCACACACCACACTTCACACCAGACACTTACTGACCAAGGCATCCAGAATCAAAAAGCAGAAACCAACTACAAAACTAAACTAAACAAAACAGGACACGATGGTCGCAATATCTTAAGTATCCTCTTCATAGTGTATAGTGTTAAATTCTTAAACGTAAGCGAGAAGGAAGGAGCGTGTTAAATAGGGTCTAGACTTATTAAGGCAATGGAACAAAAACGAACTTGACACACAAATTTTTATTGAGGTTTTCAAACTGCTTATAGATATGAATGTGCTGCACTTCGAAAAGAACTAACTATTAAGCTATACAAACCAATTGATTTAGACACGATGATAACTAAGCAAAACCAAAACACAAACTCACCCGCACTTGCTGCAGGAGGCAAGGTACATAAATTAGTATAGTAAAACGATTATGGATTACAAGGACGGAGCGTTCATATATATTCGAGTGTACTGTACAAATGGATTCGGAGATAGATTTTCTTTTTACAACACATTTTGACACTCTACCCAATAGATACGCCTAATATTATTTTAATGTACTTCCAGCCACAATTTAACTAATTAATGTACGGTTTATATATGCTTGCTGCTTTCGACTTTATAGCTAAAATAAAATGGAAAACGAATCACGCCAATGCCTAGATTTCGCTTTTTGTAGTCCCCGTTTATGTTAGCGTAGCAAGCAGCTTTGCCTACCAACTAATTGCTACTCATTATTTATTATTTTGCTATGACTAGAGTATTATAAGGGCGGGAGACGAAAGTTTGTAAAAAGTGCATATTAAATAACGAAATAATAATATGGGTATTATGTGAATGATTTGATGCTGCTCTCAAACCCAAAAGCACAGCACAGCGATTTATAGGTGTGTCATGCTAGCATTTGAAGCAGCTGTAATTTCGAGTGCTTAATTTATATTAGTAATTTATACAATTTATTATACGCAAAAACATGCATTAAATACATACAATATTTAAAAAGATTTAAATGTGAAGGCCAACAAAACACAAAGGTGGATTGATGGAATGGCAAAAAAAATGCGTGAATTATACTAAACAAAAAGAGTAAAAGAAAAGAAACATATTTTTAAATACAGTTTTTTATTTCACATTTTGAATATACACATTGATATAAATATATTGTAGCTATATATATACTAATTATGAAAGTTTATTGTAGGAGTCTTGCAAGCATATTCAATGGCACACAAACGACAAGAAAAACAAAACAAAAAAAACAGATTTTGCGTAGTTAACATTTAAGAATTGTAAAGTGAAGATCCATACATATTTATATATATACAACAACAAAAACAAACAAATGCAGCTATATTATTGCAGCTATATTACTAAATAAATTATAAAACAAAAAAAATCATACACAAAAGATAAATTATTGAAACCTGTAAAAACTAAGTAAAACAAAATAAAATTAGTTACATTAGTTACCAAATCCCAGACAAATTTTTCTGCTTTCGCAAATGACGTATATCAAATTCTATGGAAATGTACGCCAACAGGTTTTCGTTTTTAAATGGGATTTCAGCTTTATTAAAATAAAACAACCTTTTTTGATTATAACAGTTTATTTTTGCTAAGTCATATCATTCTATAAAATCTATTAGTTTAGGGGGATCGTAATAAAGACTTACTAAATTAATTGAATAAATTTTAATCAGTGGCTTGGTTATGAAAATAAATTATCCATAAAATGCGTTCGTTGAGGAATACGAGAAACAATAAATACATGCAGTAATAAATTAATGAAACTAGGGGATTAAGTAGGTCTAGACAAGGCGGGCGGATGAGCAGGTGGCCCCCGAAGTGGCACTCTGTGGTTCCGCTTCGCTTCCTTTGCCGATCCCCACCAGACTAACTGCTCCTCCGGTGGCGCTGGCCAGCACTCGTTTATAGTTGCTGCTGCATTGCGAATCTGCCACCGATCGCCCATCGCCCTCATCCCGTCGACAAAGATCCACGGAGTAGGGAGCTCCCGAAGTGGCCGTGTGAATCTCCAGGCGACGCTCCAATATGTCCGCCGTGGTCAACTCACTGGCCTGCACCAAACTGCTATCGGGCACGTTGCTTAGCCATGGCTTAAGGATGCTCTTCTTTTGAATAGTGGCTGCCTTGCAGCGGCAGATGACATCAGCGGGTTCACCGCAAATGGGGCAGGTGGCTTCGACGGTGGGATCAGTTGAGCCCTCCACATCAGTGCCTCCTCCACCCACCACCGTGGGCATGGTGGCTCCCGATGAACTGCCACTCAGCTCCAGTTCGCTAACCGCATCCACCAGGGTTTTCAGGCCAGCACCCGATTGCGGACAACCCTCACCCATGGCTACCACCTCCTGCTCCTCGTAGTTAGGACTCAAGAGAAGCTTCGACAGTGGCGGAGCCAATCCCAAACCCAGATTACGTTCGTGATAAAGTTCTGAGATGCTGGGTGTAAGTTCGCGGTTCATGTGGCGCATCATGCTGTCCTGAAGGCTTTTGCCACTGGACTTCGAAGCTGGCGGAGCTTCCTCCTGCTTGGGTTCGTTCAACAGATCAGCGTCCGATTGCGAGAAGTACAAGCTGGATGGATTGAAGACCACATTTGAGACCTCCTCCTCCTCTGGCAGGGCCAGTGGCTTCCTTGTGGCTGATCCATTGCTCATGGCATTAGCTCCGCCGGGTGCACTTAACTCCGTCCGTACACTGAGTCTGTCCATGAAGAGAGCATGCTCCTTGTTAACCCGTGCCGCCAGCGAACTTTGGGCACTTCCCAACTTGATCTTCGGTTTGCTACGTCCTCCCACGCCCACACCCAGATTGTGGTAGGTTGGTGGGCGTGGCGGAGGCAGTGGTGGTTGCTGTTGTGGCATGGCTGCACTTACTCCACGTCTCAGGACCGTCGCATGCCCGGATCCCTCCCAATCTGTGGTGCTACTCGCCGAACTGGAGCTATCAGGTCTTCTGCTCATGGTCGTCGATGCCGGAGGAGCTGTTGCCGCTGAACTGGTCTGCGAGTAAAGACTTCTAATGCGCGTCTGATGAGCCAGTGCCAGGGACAAACTGGGATCGGTCACAGGCGGACTCGGTGTGAAGGCGGCATCGCTTTCGCCACCTCCTCCAGGTCGGGAAACCCTCACCGGCGCACGCATGCTGGCATAGCCCAGTCGAGGATTGGATAGACCAAAGCCCGGCTGAGTGGCATAGCCATCAGACAGGGAGTGCTCGCTGTCGGTGGTATTTGCCAAGCTGGAATCCAAGCCGCCTCCACTTGTGCCGCCTGCTCCACCGATGGCTTCAGTTCGTCCGCCATCCGGCTCGCCACGACGTCGCACATAGGAGATGAAAGCACTACGCGGATGAAGTGGGAGTGGCGCCTTAGTGGCCCCATTCACAGAGGGAGTGCTGCTGGCCGCGGGAGGAATTGGTGGAGCATCCAGTTCCGTCTCGGCCAGAGACTCGCAACTGCTGCTGTGGTCCGAATCGAGATTCATGCCGAGATTCTTGGGAGCCTCGCGGGTGTCTAAAGTAAAGTAACCAGATTATTATTAATAAGGAATATCCAACACCATTCTGTATTACTTACCAAATAAGGCGAGGAGCGCCTGCAGCACAAACTGGCATTGTCGGCGATTAGCTTGTTTTCCCGTGCGCAGGATCACTTGGTCCGCACCCACCTCTGTAAGATCGAAGCCCACGGAGGCGAGCAGTTCATGGCACCCTGCCACTCGCCAAAGTCTTACGCTCAATGGCATCTCGATGAAGCAGGACTCGGCGATCACATCCGTCTTGATGGAGCTTGAACTGGAGCCGGGATTTGTGCCCGGGAACTGGGCCAGGATATTTCGAATCACGGCTATAATATCATCGGCGTGCTCGGCACTGTTTACATGGACCAACTTGGCCAGGGCCTGCAGTGTGGCCGGAGTTAGGGCGAGCAGAGCCTGGAGACTGGCGGAGCACTGGGACAGACGCTCCTCGGGATCCGCCTGGGGAAAGAAGACACTGGACGGAATCCCATTGGCAGCCGGTTCGAAGCGGAAGCCCACAGCCATCAGCAGATCCTTCCAGCCGGCAACCGGACCTGCCTTATTCTCGATGCTCTGCTGGGTGGTGTACATGGCGTTCTTCTGGCCACGGTGAATTCGCTGCAGACTCTTCTCCACCAGATGCAGGCAGACACGCAGTGCATCCCGACATCGCTCTGGAGTCCGCAGGAGTTCGCAAAGGGCATGACCCAGAGCCACCTTGTTCGACAGCCTGACATTGCTACCCACCAACAGGAATCCAGCCCAGTTGGCCGGATGGGCAAAGTGCTTCGTATGCTGAACCGTTTGCATGGCTTCAGCCAAGGCCCTATAAAAAATAATCAGGTTATTGATAATAATATTCCAAGCTAATCGAAAGATAATAGTTTATAAATCTAAGCGAGTTCCCTATAAATTTTAACCCACCCAATTTAACTTTACGCAAAATAATAATCAAATCTTTAAAAATCTTAAAAAAACATTAACAATTTGGAATATTGTCGATTCTTAAAAACTACATCGTGTTTAATTGGACTCCCGATGGTAACATATAAATTGTTTTAATAAGGATTAAAAATAAATCTTTCCAATAGTTCTTATTTTAACTTTGCTTATTTTTTGGATATTGACTAATGAATAAATTTATTTTAAGATTTGTTCTTAGGGAAGTTTCTGAGTTAA